AAGGCTAAAGGATTGCGGGTTTTGGCTGAAGCTTGATGGGGAAAGGTGTAGCTTCCACACGGAAGAAAATTGTTCCCCGGAAGCGCTATTCTCGCTCACCAGGCAGACTCAGGTCACAAAGAGAAACTTGAATCCAGCTTCAAATTTATCTGTCTGTCGAGTACCAAATCACCTATTCAGATCGTTGCATGTCCATATATCGGTCTCTGTTAAAGCTATCGGCATTCGTTTGTTCATACCCAGTCTATGTGCACAAAAGAGGTTGGCCCATGCGGTTCAACTACCATGACCGAAGATCGGACGCGCGTATGAGATGCATCGCAATCGGATTGCAGTGTCGTGGTAACCTAGTGATGTGAATCACATCGAACAATCATCCAATGCCCCTTCTCCACCCGAACAAATCATTGTGACCTTTAGCCGACTGAAAATCCACCTCCGTTATGAGATGATAGGCTCGAATATGAAACAGTTGTTAGCCTCTGAACGTGTTCTATAGTCATAATGGGCACATTCTGGAGCATTATGTTCTCTCGTCGACGTCCGCGGATTCGCACCGTCGCCCGGGGTTGATAGTTGAAAACATGGTCTAACACTGACGAATTGGACCAGGAAGGTGTGCGCTTATGATTCATGTACGGTAGACGGCGCTGAAACACAACTGGATCTCCACGGCTCCAAGGCTCTCGCTTTCGTACTCGGCCCACTGAGATATTTATCCATTCGGTCGAGTAAAGTAGACGCAAAAAATTAGTGTTGGGACGAAGATCGACGCCATTCGTCCCACGATAAACCCGGTCGCACACCTGCTAATTCAGTGAGAAAAATCAAACAATTTTACAACACATTCGACCCAAATCGGGTCATCTCGTAATAATACTAATCTCGCAGAGATAAATCAATAATATTGCGTCGTACGGTAATATTCACTCTCTCCGTTCGTCTGATCCGCAGCCTATGGCCGTTTGAACATTGCTTACTGTGCATTTCATTGGTACATTCTTTTTTCCTGCATTGATCAATGTTATTTTCAGTCACATATAAGCAGCAGAGTGAACTTGTAAATGAACTTGTGACGCACGACTCGTGACTTGTGATTTGTGCTCAACACCATTAAAATCCCGTGCTGCTGAAGCCATGTCTTCTCTCTCTCTCTCTCTCTCTCGCGTGTTTGGGAGGCCTGAGAGATCAATAGCTGACCGTGCATCCTGTGTTTCACCTAGGTAGCGTCCACTCCTAGAACTATCATCCGCTCACGGACTTAGTGTTAGTCCACTGTTCTCGTTCCGCGTGTGCTACTGTTGTTACTGTGCTATATCTTGTGTTCTTTGCACTTGTGGTGTTCTCCTGCGATATAGTGCTGTGCAACCTAATAGTAAGCAAAGGATATACGCGGCGCAAAACCTAACAAATTGGCGACATAACACAAAGTATGTGGATAGTTTTATCCTACAATCATCTGTACTCAACTCCTTTGTCTCAACAAACAACTGACTAGGAGAAGAAGTTCTTTTGACCCGATGACGATGCAACCAAAAGCTCTCTCTCCCCCTCTCGATTTATATAAAAAGACGCGAACTGATCCATAAATTGGACCCCACCGCAAATGTGGAATAACTAACTTTGCCCGATAATTTACACAAACATCCCCAAGGAAATCAAACCATATTGGGGAAACCCGACAACTTCCTCAGACCCTTGTGTTCTCATCACATTATCACCGAATTGAGACCATCCTTGCTACGTACACATTCGTCTATCAGTTCCCATTGATCGTCCTATCACGTGACACAGTTGTTCATGACAGACACTGACTAATACGCTCCCAATCTGTTTTATCTGTGCGCCGGCTTGACTTAGTTTTAGGTCATCGTTTAATCGAATAATGTACTTTCAGGATCATTCATTAAATCGTTAACCCGATTCTGAGCAGCACGCTCTCTTGTGTGTTCTGATTTCCTGTGTTGAATTACGGGCCCTAAAAATACGGTGCATAGTGTCACGGTTGGAAATCGGTCTTAACAATCCTTTTATCAAACATCGCTACTCGGGCTTGTATAAACCAAGTCACTGAAATTCTGGATAGATGATATTAAGCACAGAACTCATTTCATCGACAGCCTCGTCCCTTGATATTTGTGACGGATTGTAATTTGGCAGTCAGTGGTGTAAAGCTGATCATCAAAGTATCACCTCGGTCGAATTGTGACAACAATTTGCTAACCGCGACCTTCTATCATTTCAGCTGTGATACACGGGACATTCTTTGCAGATTAGTTTTTTATTGTTAATATTATTATTGTCATTATGGCGGATCATACGCGTAATGTTAGACTGATGGAGGATAACAACTTCAGACAGAAAGGTATTTTTATTGTTCCCTTTCACTCGTTCGTTCGTTTGTCTGTTCATCCTCAGAAATATGTAGTATGATCTGCCGGACGTGCAAGTGTGCACAGATTTCTCACAGATTCACACTGTCGCACGCACGCACGTACTCACTGTGCACCGGATGAACTCTATTGAGAACACGTGGTCTGGACACGCCGCCACGGTGCACAACACCACAGTGCACTGCTCAAATCAGTTTGTGAATTCTGATTGATAATTCTGGTCTTATCCACAACACCGGACCCGCGTGGTTTATGTCCGAATCGGATCGCTTCGGTTTTTTCCAACAGACCCCTTTTCTGTACACAAGATTGTTCATTATTCAGACCGCTTGGATCGTTATTCGTATCGCTGAGAGACAGATCGGCTGTCCCGGTTTCCAAGAACGGACCGAGGCTGAAATAAGATTGTTTTGTCTGCCCCGTACGATTCGCGTCGCATCTGGTCGTCAACTGATCCGCCGAGTCGAACAGAATTCGATCCAGTGTGCCTTGTAATGCCACCCCGAGTCGTTCGTCGACCGCGCGAATCTCACTGGATGCAGCATCGTCGGTTGTCCATCGATCGGCAGTATTGCGACAGGACGAATGCCCCAGGGTACTCGCTCCCGACTGATCGTCAAATGTGACTTTATGGTAGAATGAGGACACTGATTCGCCCTCGTTTCGGGTCAATGACCTAGCCGGTAAAGGAGAATGTTTACGAATCTCACGTGTCCCAGGTCGGCCACCACCACGTCTCATGTGAGACAAGGATCTGGACACCCGTTGTTGTTGTTGTTGTTGTTGTTGTGGTTCATGCGTGCTATGCTCTCCAGTTGGACCAATTTTCCGTTCATTGATCCGCTTTCGTTGAACTGGCGTTCCCGGTAGACTGAACGATTTACGTTGACGTGGCTGATTCGTTTGGGACGAAGTTGTTTGTCTCAGAGTGATGTCAGCTTCCGATCGTGAGGAGGTTTGTTCCTGTGCAACACGTGATTCATTCTTATTGGCTCGAGCCAAATAGGAATCAACAAGTCTGCGCAAATCCCCGTACTGAATTGAATTGAATTTATTCTGTTCCGTATGCCTGACGGCTGATTTTGATTTCTGTGCAGCGGAATTGGTCAACGCTCTGGACACAGATCTGGTTGTATCAAACACTGGTTTGGGTCTTCGATGTGAATTTGGATGAGGAGATTGATTCCATGGAAGTATCCATTTTTCTCTCTTTTTGGTTGACCCAGATTCGTATGTGGATGTAATAGAAACTGGGTTAGACGCGGTAGTACGATTTTCAAATCTGGAATATGATTCATGAAAGTTCCGAAGGGAATTCACCCAATTCGGACGAGATAGTGTTCGACGACGCACACGTGGTGGTTCTGGTTCAACTGTTGACAGTGAGGATCGAGAATTAGGGGCCAGAAGGATACTGGCAGTTCGTGTGCTCGTGGAATTGGTACGTATCATGGTTGATTGTGTTTTACTGGCGGCAATCGATTGAGCGATACACTTCGGGGCTTGGCAACCCAATCGAGGACGAGTGAATTGCTCCCGCAGTGCCGTACGCCGGGTACTTCTCGATCTCCTTGTGTGAACATGAATGGAAGATGTCGCTCCATCATAGAATGGATTCGCTGTAACAACAGTAATCGCTTTCTTTGATATATTTGTGTTATTTCGTTTGTCTGTCGATTGAGTCTCTATATGCTTCTGATGATGATGATGTTGATGAGCGCTACCTGCATCAGATCGACTGGAATCTGCTGGTTGGATTTGCCTGTGTACAGAACTGCGGGAAACCGGAGGACTTTTTAATCGCTGGGATTTTTTATCGATTTTCTGGATTTTTGCCGGACTGACAACTCTTGTTTCCGGTTTCGGATTAGGAATAGTGGTCGAGGGAGTGGTTGTAGTCACGGTGATCACACCACCGGTACTGTACACACGATCAGCCCGATGAAAAGCTTTGCTCATACAGAGCGGACGATACAATTTTACACGACGACCGACAGTGGAAATGCGTAAACGACTCGAGTCGATAGACCACGAGGATGGTTGTGCATGACTCAGATCCGTCACCAGATGCTCTTCGTCCGACTCGGTTTGTTTCAATTCCGGGATCGGATTGTCAATCAACCGTGGGGGTCCGATCGGCTCTGTCTCGGACCGATTCACGTCCACTTCGGATGCGATTTTCTGAGCGCTCACAGTCGTGCACTCGGTGCCACTGATTTCTTTATTCTCACCTGAGGCCAGAACAATCACCCGAGTCAAGTCGCTCGGGAGACATGTGCTGCCCGCTTTCAGATCCACAAACCCGGTCCCATCCAGAAGAGATGATAGGATAACCCTGTCGCACGGATTGGATTTTGGTCTGTTATCTGTTCTGTTTGAATGTACCGCATCCGGTACTGGCAGTGTTGCCGGTTGCATCACACTGGTATGATCAGTTTGATTAATAGGAATACTTTCCGGCTGATTTTCGCGCTGGGTTCCCCCGGAGCTGTTTGATATTCGCCTGCAGGTCCCATCAACCGATGCACCTCTCACGGTCAAATCCATCTCCGTTCGGGGTCCATCTAACTCAGTATTCTCTATACTGTTGATTTCATATGATTGAACTCGATTCGAAGAGCCAATAATACTCGTATTCCATTCTCGACCGGGGCCGTGATAACAGCAATGACATAGGACCGGAATTCCGTTACCAATCGGGCCGAGCCAATCAACTTGGACACCGTAGCTACGTGCACCATAAGCGGGTACTGTACGTGAACTTATAGTGACCGGAACCTGGCCGATTTCTACATTCAACGCATCTGACCTCGGGACTTGACACACATGTGGTCGAATTTCCACCGTGGCTGGGTGTATATGATCCATGGGGTGATCATTACGAGATGCCGGACTTAATTGGCATAGACTATTTACTTCTTGCCGGTAGGATTCGATTAATTTCGACTGCCGTGGTCGTGGCACTGGATCATCGCTTGTTTGAAAGATTGCATCCATCTGAGCACTGTTGGTTCGAGTCACCACAAATTGTGTGGCCACATCGTGACTGGCATGGGCTCCGGCCAAAGTTCCACCTGTGGAGTATTCCATTGTGTTGCCTCGTTTGACTTCGTTCATACGAATAAATCGTTTCGGTGGCCGAAGGGGAATAGCCGCGTGTTGAAACTGGACCTGTTGCGGACTGATTTTGGTCTGCAAAGCACAAGCCGATTTGGCTGCACGCATGACGGGAACATTCATGGACGGGGATGGATTACGCGGAAGTGTGTGATGGGAGCACAGTTTGGGACTAGCAGAATACGATTGAGACAGGTTTCTTTGTAAGCGACCGGTTGATGGCATACAGGAATGAGATGTACTATGTGCTCTACGGAGACCGGGAGACAGAACTCGTTGAGGTCTATCCCCTATAAAATTGGATAAATACTGTTGTATTTTTATATTCGGTTCCATAATCTCCTTGGAAGATCCGTGACACAAATGGGAGGATTTTTCTGATTCAGAATAGTTTCCCTTCTCCTTGTCCACATCCCACGAACTGGGGTTTGAGTCACATTCTTCCGTGGTAAAGGCGGTAAAATCTTTTGATGTATTTCGCCCACCATTCCCACTTCGTTTCAGACTGGATTCGTGTGAAACCGACGGATTTGCGGAATCACCAAGCCAAGATTTGATTTTCAACGAATCCCCAATCGTGTTCTCTTTGGTTCCTTCTTTCGGCCAGCCTGAACAATCAATTCCACGACCGATCAAATCAGACAATTTTGGCGCACTATTCATATCAGTTAGTGTGGGATTGTCTGGATGCATATTCATATTACTGTTTGTGCCATCCCTGATCGCGTTTTCGGAAACAGACTCTCGCACTCGTACGCGTCCACCGTGTCGTTCCTCGTCCAGACTGGGTTCGCTGATATCAATCAATGTGGTGAATGATTCATGCAATGAATTGGACCTACGGACTGTCGGCCTCGGTGAAAATGGACGTGTGTGTGTGGCTTTGATGCGAGCCAAATTACGTCCGATCGATTTCGGCCCCGTACGATTTGTCAAATCGGCCTCGTGGGCTTTTCGATCGCCGGGAAGCTGCGCCAGACATTGCACTGAAGGCCATCGAGACACACGGGGGTAAATACCGGAACGTGCGGTATTCCATTTCAAAGACAGCTGTGTTGATGGGTTCACGGGAGTAATTGGGTGTCTGGTGTTATGCGTCAGAGCCCATTTGATTCGTTTGACTGACTGCTTGCTGGTTGGTGAGAAACGAATCACCTTTTTCCGTTCACCACAACTCCCTGTCCAATAGTTCACAGTGGAAGAATGTTCCGAATTGACGGTCTCGTTCAAATGATCACCGGACCAGTCTAATTTCACGATCGGTTTGAATGTGTTGTGGTTTTTCAACGGTATCACAAGTTCACAGGGATTTCGTGTACAGTATTGAGGAAGGATACGCTCCAGAGTTCGGTTACATTCGACCAATTTTTTTGCATCTGGAGCGGCTACCAGGACACGAATCTGTGATCCCAGTGGATGATAATCACGTTCCACGCGCAAGTGGCACTGCAATCGTGATAACACTTCACGGACATGTTGGTTATCAGCTATGTGATTAATTTCCGTGGGGGACTGATCCAATGCGTATTCTGTCCAACTGTAGCACACCGCATTCGATTGGTACATTCTAGAGAAACCGGATAACGGGGATCAGATAGCCACGTTTAAACCGTGGTCCAGTACCCCCCACAATCATGACATTGACCACACTTTTTTGTAATGTGTGGTTTGTGATAGTATGAGTCCACGGCACATGTCTGCTGACGACCAGCTGAGAGGCTGAGAGAGCTTTGAAGCAACATCGATCTAAACTGGAAGAGAAATCAATATCAACAAAGATCACGTGAATACTATCTGTTACACTATTTAGTCGGTGAAATAAAATATTTGATCACATCATAAAGAATATGCGTACTTTCATTGATCTAATAAAAGTAAATTAACCTGAGAAATATCGAGTAGTAGTTCACATAGACAATTGCTAACCTAAAACAGAAAACTGGTATCATCCATATGAGAAAAGGTGAACTGTGAAAAAATATTACTTCGGATGTAAAAATGCTTCAGAATTTATGGTAATTTATACTCACAAACGCCTAGATTATTCGGGCCCCGAAAATGTTCTTGTTACTGACTGCCCCGACAGGATTTCCTTGGAGTTTACCGGAGTCCACTGAATGAACTTCTAAGGCAAGGTTAATTGTTCAAATTGTTGTTTGGTTCGAATCCCACCGAGATTACTGAATTTTTCACAATCTCGACATAAAACTTCCATATGCCAAACAACGGTAATTAATCGTTCTTTATTTGACCTGAAACCTTTTCTTTTTTATAATAATCGGCTTTTCGAAGTCAATAGAAAGTGTCTAGAGTTTCTAGCTTGGATTAGTCCATTCAATTGTTCTGAGTGTCCCCCCCCCCAGAAATTGAATACAGAGCGATAACTGAGTCCCTCTCATGGGGTCCTAAGCTCCGAAGTATTTCTTGGAGAGTGTTTGGATTTCCTGTCATGTTCAGCTACTCGCTTCTTTAATTATCGACTTGGCCAAAGTATGTGGCTGTGCACTGTTTATCTTATCTTATCTTGTAAATCAGTTTCGATTGATCAGCTTTTGATCGTTTGTTCTGAAATCGCAGCAAGAGTGAACAAATGATATTGATTGTCCAAAATACAACTCATATAATTGCAATGGTTCAATATTCGTTGAGTGTCTTCTGATGTATTGCAGCTACTACGGTATGACACTAGTTTCGATACAATCGATCTTTCTAATTTCAGGTTCCGTCAATCGTTTTGGTATTTTTGTAATTTTTTTTCTTTGGAAAACTTGACGGATATCTGTTATCCACCAGCTCTCTTTTGACCAGTTGAACTTCTTTGTATTTGTTCAATTTTCTTGAGACGAACTGGTTTGCTCTGGCTAGGAGGTTGATCACCACAGCAGCCTTCATATTTATGGGTTGGTCAGAGTAGTAGGACAAATAAATATCTGCTAGTTTACGTTGGCTTTCTGTACACCGATACTGATACGTTGCCTAAATCATTGTAAGTTACTTGGCAGTCTAAGTAGTTGATGTGTTGATGCTTTTCCACTGTAAAATTAATGTTTTTGTGGAACTGGTTGATGAAATGTGTGAAAAGTTCTTCTTGATCACTACAAAGGTATCATTTATGCATCTTTAACAGATACTTGGTGAAGGCTAGATTTAACGCAAAAAACGTCACTTCCATTTGCACTGACTACAAAAATAGAGCACTTGAAGTTACGGGAATTCACTTGAAGTTGAAAAGTATAGATATTATTGTGCCACGTTCGGTTGGTGGAGGAAGCTCCGAAAAGAAGATCATTTGTCACTTTGACTTCTAATACAAACATCAAGCTAGACGAGTTAACCATATTTATAAAGTAGCTTGCTCCAACTTGGTCGAAAACTCCTAGGAAAGAGCCACACGAACAGTCAACTCGCTGATGCACAGTTTGTTTTTCTGGAGCCAGGAAACTGCTCGCCTTATTTTTCTTGACTATACCGACGTCTTTGGTTCGCCTGACCGTCGCATTCTCACTTAATGTCTTGCTGACTGCGGCTTAGGATCCGACGTGTTAAATGTTCTTGTAAAATACTTCTCCTTTAGGACACAATTTACTTCTTGCAATGGTAAAAGGTTGTCGTCTTTTTATGTGAACTCTGGTGTCTTCCAGGGCGCCATTTTGTTTCCCTTCTTTTTTCCTGTACATAAACAACCTGCCTGTCCATACCAACTTAATTGTCTGTAGGTGTGCGGACGATGTTGTGATTGGGTGCCCCTCCAATACTGATGCTTCTTTTCACCAGCTTCAAGGCGGTGTGAACGACATTTTTAGCCGGTCTCCACCCCGATCACTCATGCTTAATGTTTCCAAATGTGTCGATGTTCCCTTCAGCCTTAAATCTGGCTCCCGTCATCAAACTACCTTTAATGATCTACCGAATCCACACCTTTTCCCATCAAGCTTTAGCCAAAACCCGTAATCCTTTAGCCAAAACCCGAAATGCTTTAGCCAAGACTCACAATCCTTTAGCCTTGACCTACATTCCTTTAGCCAGTAGTAGTAGTTAACCGTCCCAGCATTCCCAAAGCTGACTCTATTAAATACCTCAGAGTTGTTCTATCCCACAAACTTTCTTGGACCTTACATTCAGAGAAGGTTTACAACAAGACTCGTAAACTTTCTTTTTATGCTTTAAGGCTTAGGAAGTTTGCTGTTTCCCCAAACGTAATTTTCAAATTCGTGGTAGCATGCATCCTCCCTCATTGGCTGTACTGTTCCCCTGTATTTATTCCCTGTTTAAAAGAAAAAAGATTTCGCATTAATTTCCAAGTCTATAAAACACCTATCCCGATGTAGTGTCATAGCCAGAGAAGTTCTGGTTTTATTGTGTGGAAACATATCGACGCATGTGAAAGAATAGCCGACAGAATATTGAACAACGAAGATCACTGATTGCACAACGAACTTATTAAATCTGTCCAACCTCCGTACCAGCTTCCATTATAGGCTCCTTCCCGCACGAACCGTCACATACAGAAACAGCATCCTCCCTTTTGTTGCTTGATTTTTAGCAAATCGGGCACCAATTATTACAGGTTTGGTTGAACACCTCGTGCATTGGTTTATTTATTCATTTTTTATCTGTCACNAATTCACCCATCGGGTGGATAAAGCTTACTTTGACTTGACTTGAGAAGACTGCCAATACTTCCGGTGTGTGTGTGTGTGTGTGTGTGGGCGTATTCTGTGCTTTGTGGTCGTGCTTTTGGGGCTGGCCGACCTTCGTGGCTACTTGCTTTATACGTGTTACTTCGCCCTCGGATCTAACTCTGTGTATCTGTTGTGGCTGTCCATCTCGATCTGTGTCACACGTTGTCCGTGTTCTCGTCCGTCGTTACTGGGTGATGTGTTGACTTGTGAGGGTGTGAGTGTGTGTTTCGTGATTGATAGGGGGCTACACAGCACACACAAATACAAGGGGACCGAAAGTTCACACTTTTCAACACTGCCAACCCAATGCGAATGTGGTAGGTGGTGAGTCAGTCTCCTCACGGACAACCACCCCAATACGCCATGATCATTATCACCTTTACTCACATACATATGCTGCATCATGTACCATTGGATATCTATTGATATCGAATCTTTATCGGATCCGGAAAAGTAAGTAGAATACGGGTCATATATTCTAACGAGAATGCCGGGCTTTTCAGGTTCGCGGCCTTCGCTGCTATTATTAAAAGGTGGAACACTAATACCTGTGCGTGTGTGTGTGTGGGGGGGGGCGATTTAATGATGCAGGTCGTTGTTGTTGTTTTCTGTCGCACCAGTGGAGATACAGTAATGATTACCTTGTCTCTAAATCTCCAAACCTATCTCAGGCAATCAATAGTTCACTTTTCCATATATCCGATCTCCAAACAAGCTGATCTGTGCGCTTAGTCAATGTCTTTTATCCCAGTTACATAGATAGATCCCCCGGGGTGGGGGGGGGGAGCTGATTCATGCTTCGTGACTGAAAACGGTATAAACCCCGATTGTGATCCAGTTCAGGTAGCAGTACATGGTCGTCCTCCTAGTCTCGTTGTGATGCAATCAGTACCCAAACGAGCAGATTTCAGTCCGGATCTTCTTCCACAATGAGCTGTCTTCTTCTTGCGAACATCTTGCCGATTTCATGTGAGTAATGGAGGATTTGGTAAAATTTCAAATGAGAACTCGTCGTATTTCCAACCAAGTCATTACCCCGGAGGCTACTGCTAAATTGAGCAGGGTGCGTGGCCCGCAACAAGTTTTCAAAGATGGGTTATGCTATATCGTGTAAATGGAAAATTAAAAACGGTCCGATCAGCTGCTCGGTGGCGTAGTGAGTGGCACGCTTGCGTTCTGCCCATGAAGTCCCGCGTTCGCACTGCTATTGACACCCAACCAGGTCGAAACAGCTGTCCAGTGCTTTTCAGTTCACGCTTCATTTGCCATATACACGACGAATTCCCATTTGAAATCTTACCAATTATCTGAATTTCTGCTATGACCAATGCTGACCAGTTGAAACTATTTTGAGGAGAATCAAGGCCAATAAAACTCGTGGTCCCGATGGATTAGCGCCTCATTTGTCGAAAGCCTGCGTCGACCAGCTTATGACACCCATTGCCGAATTGTTCAGTACTTGTTCGTCATCTGGAACGATCCCCGATTGTTGGTGGTCAGCTCGGATCAGACCAATCCCCCAAAAAGGATCGTCAAAGTACCGTCCAGTTGCCTGCATATGTGTGTTACTGAAGGCTTTTGAAAATGTTTTGATGCACCGTATGATACCCC